TTTGTCATTACCTTTGTCTTACCTTCGAGGTGTAGACGATTAATAGACAACATGTATTTAACTGAAGGAGGGAGTGGTTTTTATAAGCCACGCAGTTACAAAAATTACAACAGTTACAAAAATGTTTTTCTTTTCTTCTGGGCCAAGTTAAATACGCAGCTATTGCTATTACCGAAACAGAACCGGAACCGGAACGTGTTCACCTTTAAATGGACGTTTTGATTGGTTGATATGATAATGTATATAGCAAAACAGGACAAAACAAAAACATGAAAACGAAGTTCCGACCTGTTTCCGTCATGACAGCTAAAAATGGCAGCAAATTTGATTTGTCAGAATGTATAACACGAAGAAGATATCTGGTATTACTTGAACAGGATACAGTATCCCCCTCACCCCTGCCCATCCCCAGTTATCGCTGTCTCCTCGATTTCATCTCCTTATTTGGCGTCTGCTAAGCCCATCACCCCCACCCCTACCCCCGTTGTCGCTGTCTCCTCGATTTCATCTCCTCATTTGGCGTCTGCCCAGCCCCTCACCCCACCTCTACCTCTGTTATCGCTGTCTCCTCGATTTCATCTCCTCATTTGGCGTCTGCCCAACCCCTCACGCGCACCACCACCGACACCACCACCCCAACACCACCCCCATCACACATTGTCGCTGTCTCCTCGATTTCATCTCCTTATTTGGTAGTTACCCAGCCCCTCAACCCAACCCCTATCCCCGCTAACGCTGTCTCCTCGATTTCATCTCCTCATTTGGTGTCTACCCAGCCCCTCACACCACCCCTACCCCCTCTATCGCTGTCTACTCGATTTCTCTTCCTCATTTGGCGTCTGCCCAGTCATTCATCCCTCCACCCCCACCCCCGTTATCGCTGTCTCCTCGTAACAGTCTCCTCTTCCCTCTCATCGCCGTCTCCTCCCCCCTCGTTTTCGTCGTTGTCTATTTCCTTGTATAACTGTACACTGTGCTGAATGAATTATTTTGAATGAATGTGCGGTCATGCAAACCAGAAATAACAAGCAACCAACAGTTTCCAGTAGATCTACTGTCCGATAAAATTTGACCTCGATCGACAGGTAATTTGACAGTGACCACCCCCTCCTCGATACATGAGGATATGACCACATGCACTCACTCTATACCATTCAGCACCCGCGATGTTTGTTGGGAAATCTGGTCTGGTTCTGCTGGCGGAACATACCGTTACAGAGATAAATGTAGATTATAATCACATTGGTTTGAAATTAAAGACACTGGCGATGCTTTTTTCGTATTTTATCAAAATTGGTAGCTTGATGATACAAACGCTATCCTAGAATCCCGGATAGGTAATCACAACAGGCATCAGTTCATGGATCAATCATTCAGATTGCGTTCATACTGACAATAAACATTATCCGGTAACCGTTCAATGATAAAGTATCGCAAACGAGAGGACAAACGTGAACAAGTCTTATTTTCAGCATGGTAAAAGATTACCAGAATTGGCCTACAGTATTGTGTCTAAAATGAGTTCATAAAATGGCTGCCGTCACGTTATTCATACAGAAAATTTTCAGTATATTTCACATCAGCTTTTGTTTAATAAGGTAGTTTTCATGTGCGTTTTGGATTCAGTATTTTGTTATTTGTCCTACGGTCAAAAATACTAAAAAAAAAGACTCTGTTATTGATGTCCCGAATGTATTACGAAGGGAGTCTACTCCAAATGTCATAGAAAAATCTCTACAGCACTCTGTTATTGATGTCCCGAATGTATTACGAAGGAACTACTTCAAACGAAATAGACAAATCTCTACAGCACTCTGTTATTGATGTTCCGAATGTATTACGAAGGAACTACTTCAAACGAAATAGACAAATCTCTACAGCACTCTGTTATTGATGTCCCGAATGTATTACGAAGGGAGTCTACTCCAAATGTCATAGAAAAATCTCTACAGCACTCTGTTATTGATGTCCCGAATGTATTACGAAGGAACTACTTCAAACGAAATAGACAAATCTCTACAGCACTCTGTTATTGATGTTCCGAATGTATTACGAAGGAACTACTTCAAACGAAATAGACAAATCTCTACAGCACTCTGTTATTGATGTCCCGAATGTATTACGAAGGGAGGCTACTCCAAATGTCACAGAAAAATTTCTTCAGCACGCTGTTATTGATGTTCCGAATGTATTACGAAGGGAGGCTGCTCCAAATGTCATAGAAAAAATTCTTCAGCACTCTGTTATTGATGTTCCGAATGTATGACGAAGGGATGCCACTCTAAACGTTATATACAAATCTCTACAGCACTCTGTTATAGAGGTTCCAAATTTATTACGAAGGGAGGTAACTCCAAACGTCATAGACAAATCCCTACAACTCACTAGCATGTTTCGTTTACTTTTGCAAAGTTTATCAATAGGAAGTTCCTTGTTCGTCTTGTGATAATAGTGTAAAAGATATCACACCGGAAAAGTAACGAGATCACTTGACAGTGTACTTCTTTTTCGTTATTTAATGTACTGGCTGACATTTTTGACAATGACGTCCGACATTCGGATTATTTATCACAAATACCCCGTTTTTTTTGCTATTCCGTATTGCTATAACGCACCACTATTAAATATAAGCCTCAGAGTGTCTGATATAGCTTTCACAAACTAGCACTGAAGTGATGATAAACATAATCTTCGAAGTACCTACATGAACAATATGTTCAAATTTTAACTAAACTAGCTTTGACTGGAATTTTGACGCACAGCGCATACATGTACCAACTTTAAGGCAAGTGAACCTAATTCAGTGTGATCAAATATAACGTAAATCCTATCCTTGAAAATAGCCCCAAGCGTGCGCTGATACCGAAAAACTGGAAAATCAAATGGAATTAAATAGTGTTAAATGCTTATGCTTTTAAACTGAATTCACGATTAAAATGTCGCTGATTTCTTCATCAGTGTCTGTAGCACAGGCAGTAAAACGTTACATCCCCGTTGGTCGAATTTTCAAGGAGTCGCAGTGAAGATCTCATCTAGTGACATCATGAAATTATATATATATATTTTTTTTTCAATATACATTTTATAAACTAATTATTTGGGTAAGTTTTGTTTGACTTATTTATACATATTCATACGCATTGCGGCAATTGCCGATCACAACCCGAATAAAGCCGATGAGTTACACGATAGTACTAGTAACATAGAGTCCTACCTGATTGTGCTGGAGACATGATAGAATGACATCTCGATGTGCCATGTAAAGCATAAGTTTTAATCGAGATATCGCCAGCGACAAACACGTTAAACACACCACTTTTCGGACGTACATGTTTTATATTTAGACACGGTGGCTCCCTAATGCACGTTCACCTGTCGTCATCAGTAACGTATCTTCAGATCTACCAAAAGAACTGAAATAGGTGTTCCGACACATTTAATCGCTATACCTCTTTCTAAACAGAAAACTGAAGATAACCATGATGTATGTTCTGTACTTATATTGACTGCAGTTATTCTAACGTGCGACTCAAACTTGACTAGTAATCAACGTACAGCAGAAATTGTTTTAATCCTTCCATCCAAGCTTACACAACTCGATAAACCTAGTTACTATGAATATTAGCTATAAAACAAAACAACAAGAGGTGCCTGCTTCAAGGCTCCCTAACCGTGTCGGGTTTTGTTTCTCGGGAAACTGATAAATGAACCGTCTGGTCTATCAATTATTGAGGGTTTGTCCTTTGGCGAGGCACTCTACCCTAAATTAATCTGAATGGCACGCGACTGACCTTCATATGTTGTTCAGTGAGTTAGATACCAGTTATTTCAAGGAGACCATGCCTCATTAAGATCCTGGCTGTTCACAGAACGGCAAACCCAGAAATATAGATACAACGAAACAACAGTAAAAATACATAGAAATAAGAAGTCAAGCAAGCGATTCATCACTTCATGCATGCAGGTTACAGAATACTCGTGAGCGCGCTTCACGTTATATTTCCTAAACATATTAAAGTAAGCGTTGCTAATATTGACAACCTCTTCATCTTGATTATGATAATTTCTTGTCGTTAAATCTATAGTATTATGTGTCAGCAAGCTTCAAATATTTGCAAATATATACATTATGATAATCTGGGCCCTTTGATAAATAAAGAAATACTAGTACAATAATGTCTACCATTTTCCATTGATTATCTGGTACCAAACTGTGGACTAGTCGCGATTTTCCAGCATGCCCTAATATTTGGCCTTCTGATCTTTCTCGTCGCATGAAATCCTTTTCGCGGAAATGGAAATGGCAGCCTAGTTCATAGAAACGGTTGCATATTAAGACTTTTCATCATCTCAAATAGGACCAGCTGCAGAGGATTGGCTGTTGAATTATCAGGATATTTCACAGAACTGCACGGCCATTGTTAATAACGGTACAGAAATAGTAATTATGTGATCCGCTTATTAAAAAGACAGTGACATATTTCAATCAGATCAACACGACCTAAATACCATTTAAATTACATGTATATTTTACCGCTTGTATCAAACACGAAGTTCAAATTATTTTATACTGAGTACTATTGATTTAAACAGTTCTCAATAATATTTGTGTAACCTAATCGCTGTATGCGGACATTCTAATTCAAGTTTAATTGAACTGATACGGCTAAAGCTTGTGTAGTCGGCGGACTGCAGGTCGACTTGTCTACTGACATACAGTACATGTATGTACGTAGAGGTACACACACATGTGCTTGTAGATACATGTGACCGACTCCAATTTTTTTATCTTCGTAAAATGAGATTATTAAGCTATGTGCATGTTTCGTGAGAACAGGATATGGAGTGGGCACTCTATTTTTTGTTAGATAATTAGAAGCGAATATCTTGCTACTATGCGTTCAGTACGCGGAAACAGTTAAAACGGAAGTTACGAGGGTGTTGGGGTGATCATTCATTGGTTGTAATGGCAGCGCAACGGATTATAAAACGCGAAAGTAAGAACAGGTCCTCATACGGAGTCAGTGGTGCTATCTCGTCAATCTTCTCAACTAAAGTTGTGAAACATCGAACGGACAAGCGATTAATTCACATAACTTGCACATCTCTTATCTACTTATGTTTCAACAGATGTTGATCTAAATTCTTTAAATAAATGGAACAAGTGATTCAAAAGCTGGCGAGGGTGATAACTATCACGGAGGGCCAAGTACAGCAGAAAAAGGTAGGTTTTGTGTATTTAAGCATGTAGACTTGACAAGAAAATGTTGATCTCTCTCTCTCTCTCTCTGTCTGTCTGTCTGTCTGTCTGTCTGTCTGTCTGTCTGTCTGTCTGTCTCTCTCTCTCTCTCTCTCTCTCTCTCTCTCTCTCTCTCTCTCTCTCTCTCTCTCTCTCTCTCTCTCTCTCTCTCTCTCTCTCTCTCTCTCTCTCTCTCTCTCTCTCTCTCTCTCTCTCTCTCTCTCTCTCTCTCTCTCTCTCTCCCTCTCTCTCTCTCTCTACTCCTCCTTCCTTTCTCCTCTCTCTCCTCTCTCTCTCTCTCTCTCTCTCTCTCTCTCTCTCTCTCTCTCTCTCTCTCTCTCTCTCTCTCTCTCTCTCTCTCTCTCTCTCTCTCTCTCTCTCTCTCTCTGTCTTTCTCTCTCCCTCTCTGTCTTTCTGTCACTCTCTCTAACTATGACAGGCAAATTTATCTAATTGTTTTATAAGTAAAAATAAAATAAGATAGATTTAAAAAAAGAAAAGACACAATCAGATGATATATCGGTACATGTTTCTTTTTTAATTACTATTTTAGGTTGATGGAATACAATCTTATTTAGATAATTTTGCATTTACTCTAGATACCCGGGATTTTTGGGATTATTCCACAGCATTAGGCTATAGTTAGCTTTATTCTAATACAGAAAAATAATTCTTCCTGAAAATAAGGTGGACGTTATTTCACACGAAATTACCTAAGGGAGCACTATTTATGACAATTTCAATAAATTCTAAAATAGTATTGTTTTCACATGTGGCACCTTAATATTCAATACATATTACAATTTCCTAACAGCATTTCCTTTTATCGTTAGATATCAGACAGACATCAAGTGTGTGATAAATATTTAATTTTATGAGTTGGTTACATTTTTAACTGTATTTAATAAAGCACAAAGTGTTATAAAACGCACCTTATGAATTGTGATCGGCTTATCATCGTTGTCATACTGACTGATCTGGTGTTTCCGGAAATCTATATTTTAAATTTTTTTGTTGACCTGCCTTAGTTGTCAGTTCTGAATTCGGTGTCACTTTATATTCCGTTAAAACGTTTAAATGCTTCAGACCAAAAACCTGTGTAAACGTTGGTGATAGAAATATTAGATAAAAACAAAATTAAAAGAAAATATAATGTGATGACACTTACATGTGCATCATCTTAGTGGTGACGGCGACTGTTTCGAGCACCGGAAGTTTGTCGTTAAGTGAAACGTAACAATCGTGTTAAGTGCCACTTCACATATGACGTGCTGTTTAGGTAATATGTCAAGGCTCCAAGAAAACGTATCATAATTTATGTAAGGCTGTAAGAATATCCGGTATGTATTACGAAAGTCACAATCAAACACATATTTTGCATTTGATGTCAATAGTATGTACAGATTTTCGCTTTGTTCAAATATCGGCTGTCTCTATCTGACTCTATTTGTTTATCTATTTGACGCGCATTGAACATGTATGCTTGTAGATAAGCAGTACGCAATACCTGATATGCAAGGTACACGGATACACGTCATAAGGGCACACGATACACGTCATACGGGTACTCGATACACGGATACACGTTAAGTCATGCACGGTATAGAGTACACAGTATACATGTTAACCATCAGTGTTTCATTATACCGACTAGTAACTTTTGAGACTTTGTGCTACAATAAATATGACAACCTGTCACGTGTACTGCCCGACATACACGAATGCGATGTCATTAGACTACCTCAATAGTATGAGGCTTCCATAATTTTACAAACCTCTAACATTATAACAGTCTGTTTGTAATTTGCAACAAAAACCTAATCGTCCCCATAACATACATGTTAATATGTTTGTCAACGTCGTCTGCTCGACGTCGAACTGACAGTTCACAAATAAATACGTTACAAAAGATGTCTGCATGATCGCGCTCACATACTGACAGGCCAGACTATCATGTCTAATTTTCTTGACTAATCTATTCGGAAAATGACACTCAAACTAAAACATTCTCAAAGAATCATATAGATTTAGAGCCGCATGGCCGGTTGATTTGATATCAAAGCGAATAAACTTCTTTTATTACTGACGAACAAACACAGTTAGTGGATTAATTCAGAATTTAGCGATAGTTTTCACTTTCATGTCAGAAATAAAATGAATTTGTTAACAAGACTATTTCATATTGGTGTTGTTTATGACGATAGTGTAATTGTATGATTTAGGTACATATACACAGTATATATATACACGGTATACACATACACGGTATACATATACACAGTATACACGGTATACATACACAGTATACATATACACAGTATACATATACACGGTATACATATACACGGTATACATATACACATTATACATATACACGGTATACATATACACGGTATACATATACACATTATACATATACACGGTATACATATACACGGTATACATATACACGGTATACATATACACAGTATATATATATACACGGTATACACATACACGGTATACATATACACGGTATACATATACACATACACAGTATACATATACACATATATATATACACAGGTATACACAGTATACATATATATACACAGTATATATATATATACACAGGTATACATATACACATATATATATATATATATATACACATACACATATACACACAGTATACATATACACAGTATACACAGTATACATATACACAGTATATATATATACACAGTATATATATACACGGTATACACATACACGGTATACATATACACAGTATATATATATATATATATACACAGTATATATATATACACAGTATACATATACACATATACACGTATACACATATACACACAGTATATATACACAGTATACATATACACATATACACAGTATACACAGTATATATACACAGTATATATACATATACACAGTATACATATACACAGTATACACGGTATACATACACAGTATACATATACACAGTATACACAGTATACATATACACAGTATATATATATACACAGTATACATATACACAGTATACACAGTATACATATACATATACAGTATATATACACAGTATATATATACACACAGTATATATACACAGTATACACAGTATACATATACACAGTATACACATATACATATACACAGTATATATATACACAGTATACATATACACAGTATACATATATACACAGTATATACACAGTATACATATACACAGTATATATATACACACAGTATACACATATACACAGTATATATATACACAGTATACACAGTATATATATATATACATATACACAGTATATATATACACAGTATACATATACACAGTATACACAGTATACATATACACAGTATACACAGTATACATATACACAGTATAGTATACATATACACATAGTATACATATACACAGTATACACAGTATACACAGTATATATATATACAGTACACAGTATACATATACACGGTATACATACACAGTATACATATACACAGTATACATATACACAGTATACACAGTATACATATACACCACAGTATACATATACACAGTATATATATACACAGTATACACATACACAGTATACATATACACAGTATACATATACACAGTATACATATACACAGTATACACGGTATACATACACAGTATACATATACACAGTATACACAGTATACATATACACAGTATATATATATACACAGTATACACAGTATACATATACACATATACACGGTGTACATATACACAGTATACATATACACAGTATACACAGTATACATATACACGGTATACACAGTATAATATACACAGTATATATATATACACAGTATACATATACACGGTATACATATACACAGTATACATATACACAGTATACACAGTATACATATACACAGTATATATATATACACAGTATATATATACACGGTATACATATACACAGTATATACAGTATATATATATACACAGTATATATATATACACATTATACACACGGTATATATATATACAGTATACATATACACAGTATACATATACACAGTATATATATATACACAGTATACATATACACAGTATATATATATATATACACACAGTATACATATACACAGTATATATATACACAGTATACATATACACATATACATACATATACACAGTATATATATACACAGTATACACACAGTATACATATACACACAGTATACATATACACAGTATACATATACACACAGTATACATATACACAGTATACATATACACATATATATATATACACAGTATACATATACACAGTATATATATACACACAGTATACATATACACATACATATACACAGTATACATATACATATACATATACACAGTATACATATACACATTATACATATACACATTATACATATACACGGTATACACATACACAGTATACATATACACAGTATACACAGTATACATATACACAGTATACACAGTATACATATACACAGTATATATATATACACAGTATACATATACACAGTATACACAGTATACATATACACAGTATACATATACACAGTATACATATACACGGTATATATATACACAGTATACATATACACGGTATATATACACAGTATACATATACACGGTATATATATACACGGTATATATATACACAGTATACATATACACGGTATATATATACACAGTATACACAGTATACATATACACAGTATACACATACACAGTATACATATACACGGTATATATATACACAGTATACATATACACGGTATACATATACACGGTATACACAGTATACATATACACAGTATACACGGTATACATACACAGTATACACAGTATACATATACACAGTATACATATACACGGTATACACATACACAGTATACACGGTATACATATACACGGTATACACGGTATACATACACAGTATACACAGTATACATATACACAGTAT